ATGGTTGCTGACACTTCTTGAGTCGTGTTTGAATGTTGCTTTATTATCATCATCATCTTACAGAACGGTGTGTGTACTGACGGAACTAATGCGTGGCGAGGCTTCGGTCAGAGCCTTCCGAGAGCGGCAGCTTGCCCTGAGTCACACCTTGCCTCTAGGCTCATACCTACTGAAGCCGGTACAGCGCATTCTCAAGTATCATTTACTTCTCGGCAACATCATAAAACATTTTGAGAAGGAACGGAGTGGATACTCAGAGATCTGGAATGCCCATTCAGCAATGACTGGAATGGCTCATCACATCAACGATATGAAGAGACGACATGAACATGCTGTAAGGGTACAAGAAATACAGTCTCTACTCTATGGCTGGCAGGTGAGTTAGACATGCAGTGAATGTGGATTTCGATTTTGTTTTCTTTTCTGATTTTTTTATTTCATGCAAATTTTCAGTGGCTGAGTCACCATTATGCCCCTGTCCATTAATACAAATCTCACTCTCCAAAAGAAAATCACTTATAAACAGTAACACTCATATAACTTTCTCCCCAACAGTTTGAGGACTTGACCACTTATGGGGAGTTGGCAGCAGAGGGCACCTTCAGGATGTGTGGAGCAAAGGGCCTCAGACATATCTTCCTCTTTGAAAAAATGATCCTCATCGCAAAGAAGAAGGAAGAGAATATTTTAATGTATAAAACCCACATTATGGTATGTTAATTTCATCTAAATGTATTTGATGCATGTTGTATATTATATTCTGTACACTGTAGGCTATTATTAGTTAACATAGTAATCCCCCAGCTCAGTCAAGTCACAATACCTGCAGTGCTACATGTCAGCTTGACCCTTAAACCACCACAGAGGTCCCCATCACACAACTGTCTGACTCCTGTTGTCATTTCTCCACTCCACATCATGGAAAACTCGATAAATGAAGAATATACAGGAATTAGAAAATGTGAAAAAAGTTGATAAAGCAACAGAAGAGTAAAACATCATGTAGATGAACAGGGTCCTCCTTATTTCGTTATATTGAGGGTCTGTTAGATGTTAAGACTGTAACATAACTCTGTGTTCCATAACCCACACCAGATACAGCAAGAACAGTGGGGTGGATGACTTTAACACTGGTTGGTTATGACTTGCGTCTGGGGCATTTATACACAGCATTAAATACAGTTAACCCTCACTTTACGCGGTCCCACATTCCGCGTTTCCACGTTTACGCGGTGCCCTGCCGGAACCCAGGATGCTCACATTCCGCGTTGCGTGTACCCCTTTACGCGGAGAGCGGCTGGCGAGCCGCGCCATTTTTGGATCCAAACCTCCCGCCATCCGCCATGTTGTGTAAGCTGCGCGAACATGGTGCGCACAAGGTCGCCCAGTCATCAAAACATTACCAGTTCTTCACCCCCCACCCACCACAGCCGGCCCAAGTCAGTGATAGTGATAATTATGGTGAGGATATGGACTTATATGGACTTTGGGGAGTTTGACAAAGAGGCCCTGCAAGCCTCTGTGGTGGATAGTGATACAATTGATACAAGTGACACAGGTGAGGGCCAATAATCTGCCCTCTGCCTCGGAACCAACCGCCCATCCCCGTGTGCCCAGCCATTTTTTCTACTAATGTAAGTGTTAAAAAACCTAATATTATTGATATTTCTCTTAATTATTAATTGTGTGTGCATACCATCATAAAGTTAAGATAATATTTTTACTACAACATAGTTGTGTGTCGTCAAAAAGTGGAGTTTGGGGATCGGCCCGGACTCCATTTCAATTAATCCCATATGTTATGTTATTCACTTTACGCGTTTCTCACTTTCCGCGGTACTCTCCGGGTTACATTAACCGCGTAAAGTGAGGGTTAACTGTAGTGGTCATAAATTTGCTCTGGTTCACAAAGAAATGCTTTATATTCTCTGTGGTTCTTCGGACATAAAGCTATGGTGGGTTTTTTTTCCGCAGTGTTCCAACTTGATGCTGATCGAGTCAGTTCCCGGTGAACCTCTCAGTTTCCATGTCATCCCCTTTGATAATCCAAGACTCCAGTATACTCTTGAGGTAAGGCCAACTTGGCAGCTTTGATTGAGATTTACTTAGCTTGGTTATTAAATATTACATGTACAGTACTGTACTGTAGTGTGTTGGGAAAGAAGAACGTTGAAATACATATAAACCATTTACTGTACTTCTGATCAAGAGTCTTTGGTATGACCGCACACAGGCACGTAATCTGGAGCAAAAACGGGAATGGACGTTGCAGCTGAAGCGGGTCATCCTGGAGAACTACAGCGCCAACATCCCCGCACACGCCCGTCAGCTCGTCATGGAACTTGGCCAGAGTAAACCGGAAGGTGAGAATATTTATTTTAAAGTTTGAGAGCTTTACTGTTTCTCTTTAAAAGCTTTTCATTACTATATTTACATATTTCAGTAAATATTATGTAAAGCTGATTTAGGCTCCTAATTAACATGAATTGTCATAAATATAAAATGTTAACATGGATGATTCAACCATAGATAAGGCAACAAGTCAGTAAGAGATGTGCAGATGTATATAATATTTTATTCACTTGTCTTCTCTAGATATGCTCATGACTGAAGGTCGTAGCAGTGGACGCCGTGCCCACCATGCACCTGAGTACCTGGAGAAGAGAAAAGTTGATCGCGATAGACGAAGGTCATCTGAAGGAGTACTTAACACAAGACTAAGACTCAGGCGTCCCAGCCGGGCTAGAAAGGAGAAAGAGGAGGTAGAGAATCTAGCTTTTTGTTACAGATTTTCTCCACGAAGAATTTTGAAATATACAATACACGTACTTGGTTATATGGAAAATATTCACAAAGTGCATTTTATTGAATTCAAATTTTCTTTTCAGAAGGGAGCTCGCAGTCGCAGTGTGAGTCGCACACGAGACACTGAGGATGAAGAAATAGAAAGAAAGAACTCTACAGTTTCTATCCCTTCATCTACAGAAAAGCCTAAGGTTAGCAGTACAGTATTTATATATTTTAACTTGTACATTACACAACTATAAATATACAGTATCTTTATGTGAAGTAGTTCTTATGTAAAACTCATTAATTATTGACAAATATCGACTTTTACAGTTGAAAATTTCCATGTGGGGTCGACGACGTTCTGAACCAGGCATCGGGAGCAGAGAGTCATTAACCATCTGTAACACACCAGAAGACAACATCCCGGACACCCCACAACCAAGCCTGGGTGATCCATCAAGAGACCTCACCTCTACCAGCCAAACAAACCTTCCTACCCCAGAGGTACACTTATGCAGTTTGGGTTTTGCATTGTTAATAACTTTTACTGCTAAATTTAGAACAAAATTGTAGGTTCAGTACCCTGACCAACCCTGGCATGGCTGCTGACCCAAAACTGTTAACCACCAAAAAATGATACAAAGTTTATTTTTTATGCTATTTTCACAAAATTTTAATTAAAAAAGCCTGTGAATAAATAGCAGAAAAAGAGCCATTAATGGTGTAAAGTTCCCTTTCCACACCACAACAAAGGTTAAAGGCTCTTGAGCTGAAGAGTAATGATAAACAAACACTTGGGGTTTATTTTTATAATATATTGTAACATCTGAATATACGTACTACAAAATTTTAATACTGTACCCCAAACACCTTTTCAGGTATCTGTTGACGGTCTGTCAATGTCTGAGTATGAGCGTGAGGATGGCGAAGATGAAGCAGGTGCGGAAGAGGACACGGAGAATGGAGAAAATCTTGAAGAAATTGTGAGTCAGTTATTGCAGCACAATCTACAACTGCAGAAGCTTCTCCTTAGTAAGCAACGTCGCAACCTGACAAGAAAGAAGCCCTTCCACTATGAGACTTCAGACACAGAAAATGAGGATGGTCCGTTCAAGGGGAATAACTCATACACAAGTTCAGATGGTGGTAATACTCTAAGACAAGAGGATGTAGGTGATTATGTCGACTTTTACTTTAATGGTATTAATGGTGATGGTCAGAGTGCCATACAAAATGAGAGTGCCAATGTGTCCAGCAGTGAGTGTCAGTCCGTGTACAGTAGTGCTATTTCAGTTCACCAGCTAAGTGAAAATAAATCGTTATCTTGTGAAAAGAAGTCCAAACCTGTTAGACGGTCCTCATCAGATCTAAGTTTCAAAAAGACAGGCAGTATTAAAAAGGTAAACTCCAATTATGATAATCTTCTCAACATTTGGAGTTCCATAAGAGGCAAAAGTCCAGAGAAGAAACAGAGTAGTAGTAGTATGCTTCACCATGCACGACTCTCTCCAGCTCCCTCTCCAACCACCATGGAGAGACCAAAATTACGACGAGCTCAGTCATTCTCGATCGACAAATGTCTTAACAATATAAATGATAATATTTATATATCATCTTCCCAACTCGCACCACAACCAAATACTGCCCCTGTGTCAAGTGCCAAGACGGGAGACGTTTGGATACGAGACGAACTCCGTGAAAGTTCACGAGAAAGCCGAGGACGTCCCGTGACCATAGCCTTTTACAATACAAACGAGGTTAGCCTGAGTGCCCTGGAGCAATACTTAAATCAGCCACGTACTCCCAGACACACACACGAACGCTTCCCCTACGACACGGAGGATAACCTGACTGACTATTCGATGACTCCCCACATGAGTTTGGACAACATTCTCAGCATCCATCCTGAACATAAGATTTACAAACCCTCAAATAATAAATCAACAATTAAGACAGTCTTCAATAAAATCACCAGTCCAAGACACAAAAGTATATCAGAACCATCTGGCTCAGTGTTTAATTTATCCATGGAGAGCGAGCTAGACAAAAGTGTGGATAAAAAGGCCAGCAAGATGGTGTACAACATGGCTAGGCATTGTTCCAAGACCCTGAAGGAGCGGATCAAACAGATAACGGCTGAAGATGCTGATAAGACTCCCAACAAAAAGCCTTCCCCAGAAAATGTATATGCTCTGCCCATTCACAAACAAGGTAGTTCCAGCATCGGGGCTCGTTTGGCAGGAACGAACGAGCCTTCTGATTATGCAGTACCGAGGATCAGACCCACGGAACAGAAACCTAAATCAGACCTCAGACCTGACTCGGTTCTGTCCTCTTCTTCTATCCTCACATCGTCCTCGTCCTCCTCCTCCTCTTCCAGTCGGGATACCAAGTTAATGGAAGGCACTGAAGCCCCTAACATGGCTAATGTGGAAGAGGAAAATGAGGAGAATCAGGAATCGCCCTCTTTTGAAAGTGATGCTTCAGCAGACAGTTATTATGAGAGGTCTTTTGAGGCAATAGAGAATCTTGAAACTGAAATCTTCAGAGACAGTGCCATCTATAGTGACCCAGAAGATACAGAGTCACCCCCAGCCAGCCTCTATCAAGACAAGTCATCTACTAGTCGCAATACCAAATCTACAATTTCAGTTAGGTCTTCATCTCGCTTGTCATCAAAATCCTCTTTGTCAGGGTCTATAAAACTCAGCACACAAAGTGAAATACCAGATACAGCACAGAATTTATGTCAGTCTCCTCTTCTTAATGGTAGCCAATTAACAGCTCATCCAAATTCCAGTTCTCAATCTTCCCCTCAACCAAAGAAAGTCCCACCACCAGTTCCTGCTAAACCTGACAGTGTGAAATCAAAGAAAAACAGAGCCTGTGGGAACTTAATAATGCAACAGCTAAAGAATCTTGAAGAATGTTCAAGATTTAATCGCGATGACCAAGTTAATCCCATATTTGACGGTATTAAAACTTTAGACGATAGACGAAAAGACTTGGAAACATGTAAAGTTAAACTTGAAGTTGACTGTGAGGCTGATCCTTCAGCATCCCCCAGAGGGTCACCTGAAAGAGAGGGCTCAAGCCGTAGGAATTCCAGAACCCTCAGGTCACCATCCATCATGACCCCAACACCCATCATCAAAAGTCCTATCACACTCTCCCCTCTTAACACTCTGTCTGGTCCTCCTCTTCTTATTACCAGATCCTCATCAGTCCCACCAAGACTATCTCCATGTCCTTCACTTACTCCTGAATCCCCCAAACCTTCTTCTCTTGGAACAGCAAGTCCCTTGGGGAGTGAGAGGGGATCACCACTACCATCTTGTGCCATTATGAACTGCCAGTCTGAAGGGGATGAGGGTGAAGAGCCAAGAATGCCAAGAGGTTGGGTACGACATGTCATCGGGAAATTACAGGCAGAAAGTGATGTGTAAATTCATTTACCTGAATTTCTATTATAAGGTCTGCTGTTTTTATTGAAACCTTAAGCATATGATTTCATTCATTTGTAAATCAGAAAAAAAGCTGGGAATGTAACCTCATTTGGTTGGATTATTAAGATGTGATGTTGCTCAATGTAGTATGTTTGGTTATCAAAAGGGAAGTTCTTTGAAGCTCAATAAGGATTAATGCCAGCTATAACAAAAGCCTCCAGGTGTGGACTGTGTATGTAACTGTCAAGAATATGCCTCCATGCACCAGAGCTAACCATGAAGATGATAAAGATTATAAATAGAAAGGACCTCTGATATGATTTGATGGAAAATTAAGCTTTAAAGCTTTTGTGAGTACAGTACAATATCAGTTCGTCAAGTTCATCGGGTTCTGAGAATTAATAATGCTTCCACGTGTGATTTTGTTCCCATGGCTTACAGATGCTACAAGGTAAGAGGCGCAGACCTTCCTGCACAATTTGTTTTTCATTCAAACTAGTCAAAGACAATCTTTGTAATACATAAGGTAATATTAACTCAGGTCAAAAACTTTTCTGAACATTACTATAAACAGGCAAGGAATATAATTTGCTGTATAATCATAGTAACATCTGCAGATAAGCTTTCATTAAAGTTTTTGGCCAATATGTATTATTTTGTTGGTGCTTTCAGTATGCATTATTGAATATTAATTTCTTAATTAACTGACATTTGCTTTTGTGTATAGTTCCATGTGATGGCTTTTAGTCCCAAAGTTCTATGTTATTTTCAACATATGAATCAAATTTCGTTCTTTCTCCTTTCCTGTCACTAAGTGATTGTGTGTCACTGTTGGTGGAAGATAGTGGCCAACTCTACACTAATGAAGAACATCTGAATCTCAACAGTCATTACTCTTTGTCCTCATTTTCCACCACATGGTGAAGTTTAAACAAACCTGCTCTTTGATGCATTATTAGGTGAACAGCCATCTACATTTGTATGTTATGTAAGATTTTCATGTGTGCTTTTATAAAGCAAAGAACCTATGTACAGTTTATACATACCACATGGTCTAATAAAATTTATTAAAAAAATTTTATAATCTATAATGTTTCTTTATCCATTCTAGTACAATTATTACAATGTTAGAGTTTTAGGTGGCCTAAGGTATTATAAACATGTCAATAGGGCACACAAAGTAGAATTGGATACTGTAGTGTACACAGTTTATTGTTTGAAAAAGGAATTGTGGAATTCATCAGTTCCTAATGTCGATATATCACATTCTTTTATTTTTACTTATCTCCCAATTTAGTGTGAGGTGAGTTATGGGTACAGAGACCTCAGAGAAGAGAACTAAAGGGAAGTATTGATAAAGTAAATGTTGAAACGAACAATGAAAGGCTCAGGCAAGAAGAGGAAACACCCACACACTCTACTGCACATGAACTTCCCTCCAGGCTTTTGTCAATACAGGTACAGTACATGTATCTGGCGGCTTCTACATGAGGGTCAGGTTGGAAAAGATTAGAATTTTAACATTTATTTACTCACATTATTCTTTCTATTATGGAGTTCAGTACATTTTTTCAGATACAGTATTTATTCTGCCAAATCATAGTAATAAGCACAGCATTAAGAAACCATAGACCAATCAAGATACATCCAGGGAAATCATGACATCATCCACCCATCAACTGAGGGGGTTGGTTACCATCCTTGTCTCATGAAAGATGTATATACAGCGGCAGCAAATTTTCCCCATTTCCTCCCTCCTGTAATTCACTTTGGCCCTGAGTGGAATAAAGAGCGTTGTCTGCCAGCTGATGACGTCAACAAAGTGAGGAGTGACTAAGTGGACTATACTGATCAAGAGGTAACCCACTTAATGTTTATCAAGACCTAACCTGACCCTAACTAACCTAATTTTCTAACTTCATCACAGACCTATTTAACTTAACATGACGTAACATAATGGAAATTAATTACTGTATATAACTTTCTAACTTCAGCTTGACCTACCATAATTTACCTTAAAGCTTTCTCAAAAACCCATTACCTAAAGCTTTCTCAAAAACTCATTACCTAAAGCTTTCAAAAAAACCCATTACCTGAAGCTATCTTAAAAACCCATTACCTAAAGCTTTCTCAAAACCCCATTACCTAAAGCTTTCTCAAAAACCCATTACCTGAAGCTATCTTAAAAACCCATTACCTAAAGCTTTCTCAAAAACCCATTACCTGAAGCTATCTTAAAAACCCATTACCTAAAGCTTTCTCAAAAACCCATTACCTAAAGCTATCTCAAAAACCCATTACCTAAAGCTTTCTCGAAAACCCATTACCTAAAGCTTTCTCAAAAACCCATTACCTAAAGCTATCTCAAAAACCCATTACCTGAAGCTATCTTAAAAACCCATTACCTAAAGCTTTCTAAAAAACCCATTACCTGAAGCTATCTCAAAAACCCATTACCTAAAGCTATCTCAAAAACCCATTACCTAAAGCTTTCTCAAAAACCCATTACCTAAAGCTATCTCAAAAACCCATTACCTGAAGCTATCTTAAAAACCCATTACCTAAAGCTTTCTCAAAAACCCATTACCTGAAGCTATCTCAAAAACCCATTACCTAAAGCTATCTCAAAAACCCATTACCTAAAGCTTTCTCGAAAACCCATTACCTAAAGCTTTCTCAAAACCCCATTACCTAAAGCTATCTCAAAAACCCATTGCCTAAAGCTTTCTCAAAACCCCATTACCTAAAGCTATCTTAAAAACCCATTACCTAAAGCTATCTTAAAAACCCATTACCTAAAGCTATCTCAAAAATCCAGTCCCTAAAGCTTTCTCAAAACCCATTACCTAAAGCTTTCTCAAAATTCATTAACAAAAACTTTCTCAAAGACTATTACCTAAAGGTGTATAAAAATCCCATAATTAAAGCTTTCTGAAAACCCTATTATGTAAAGAATTAAAAACACATTACTTTATGACATAGGGGTTACTGGAGGGCCTAAGAAGTTATTAATAGATACAGGGACTACATGACCCACCACTAACGCCACCTGTTGAGTCGTGTGTGAGTTGCTCGGTGGGGAGTGACAGTCCCGCACATATAAGGCGATGTCCTCCCCAGCTTTTGCGTTAGTTTCTCCCAAGACACGTTCGGAGATACATTGCCAGCGCCTCCGCCACTTCTCACTACTACCCTTCAGCTATATACTTAAGTGGTACGTAAGTAGTTTTTAAAGTTACTGTAAAAAAATTTCTGCCCAATTCAATTTAAGATATTGAAGTGTAAAGTTAACTGTTAAAAAAATGACCGTCATGGAAGTCTGTTTCTTGATTTATAGTTAGTTATACATAATTTTCTATTCATCGTGTTGGCGTCCCGTTATTATTATTTACTCTCTCAAAATCTAATTAGTATTAAAAGCTATACGGCCCAAAAACGGAAAAAAACCCCAATAAATTCCCATATTTTTTTTATTTATAGCCAGTCCATAGTCCGCGTATTATGCAGTCAGTCACCTTTGCATACTAGAACATTCTAAGCAATATTTGCCACAAAGAAAAAACAATCTTAAAACTTAGTAGTTACGTCAGTGGTGGCTAGTTGATTCATGATAGATAATAAAGCCATATATTTCACATTCATATGATAAACTTTGTTTTAACAGTTTAATAATGTTGCGTGTTTACAATCACTAGATATTTGTATTTATATTTTTTGACTGTCTTCTCAATAAATTTACATAGTATTGTTTAATATAAAGTGGAGCTAACGAAAATTATTACGATATTGGGAACATTAAAAAAACAACAACCATATTGTTACTGATTCTGTACAATATTGGCTGCTGGGATGTGAGCGGTGAGGTGAAGCAAACGACATTTTCATGTTTTGATGTTTGTTTATCATCATATTGATAAACATGGAATCCTAAAACACAATGACTTATTTATCTCGTTTTTTGTCTTGATAATTTCTTTGTGATGTTTAACTATTACAACAAATAAGTATTAAAATTTCGTTTCCTCCTCAATTATTGTAGATCATGGCGAGGGCAGCTCCTCTGGTGGTGGTAGTTGTGCTGGCTCTAACGTTGGCGGCTCCAGCTCAGGCTGCAGTATTGCCAGGTGAGGCTGTCTTCTTGTATACTGTATCTTGTTTTCACTTTAATTCTGCATATTGTACAGTGAAAGACAAAAGTCGTGTCGTGAATATGGGTGAAAAAATATGCCGAAGGGCAACTTTTGGTACACTCTGTCTTTGATTGTGCATCAATTATTTAAGGTAACATGTATAAAGAGGTAGAACAGCTGATGAATATGATAAATAAATTACTTCTGTTTTGTACTTTATGGAACATAAAGTACTGTACATACAAGTTTCAACACACTTCACCATGTGTTAGTGTGTGAGATCACATCCGTGAGTGGGTGTTTTTTTTCCTGAAAAGCATTATTAAAAGTGATAGTTACTTCCACCAGTATGCCACTGTATATATATTCATGTATGTATAACACAAACATCATAGAACTAACAATAAAAAACAATTGGAATCTCAGCTAATTTCCTCCAGTCGAACAGTGTCTGTAGCAGCATGACTCCAGAGGACCATTCAGTACAGTAAATTGCAGACGAAAAATGTTTACACCCACATTTGATAATCCCTAATATTAATAGCCACTACTGACCTGTTCAGTACCGTATATCTAGCTTGCCTCCAGTTGGGAATGGGTACCTAACTTTATATTTGGGGTAGGAAGGTGGTTGAGTACAGTTGAGGGTCCCAACACCACCTACCATCTGGTGACATCCTATACATGACAGTTCTAAAGGCAGCAACATTGCAGACAAAAACATTGAACTGGACAGTCTTAACATATCCATTCATTGCCGATGTTCCACCATTACTTAGGTTTCTGGTACACCTCTAAGGTATTTTCAGTTTATACTGCAAGAGGTTATATAATGTTAGGCCTTAATAGCATTAAAATAATGTATGTAGGCGACAATAGACCCGATAATTTTTCTTGCTCATTACACTCCACTAAACGCTAAATGATTTTTTGCAATTCATATTCAATATATTTTATATAAGTGATATTTTCATTCAAAGTGTGTATTAACTGAGACAATTCAGTGCAGTAAATAAATGCAGTTAAACAGGTTGGGTTTATGATGTGTGTGTGGTACAGGAGGGTCGCAGGTGATGGTGGAACCCGGGACAGAGTACCTACACGACCTTAACTCAGACCTGGTCACCCTCCTACGACAGAACCTGCCAGAGATGCGCGACATCCGCATTGTTGATGGTTAGTCTACTGTCAGTGCTCCCCTGGGCCCTCCATAATGCCCTTTGTCTTGTAGTAATTCAGAGGTAAACTGAAGCATAAATCACTTGGTAATTGTTGCTACAAACCTCAATAATATTACTTTTGTTGTAGTGGTGTATGATCAGTCCCCTAAACAACGTACTCTATCTGGTTTACATCACATTTGCATGATGCCCATCAGGACGATCGTATGCATGTTTCTTGTGATTTTAATCTAACCGAACTTTAACGAACTTAACTTAATGTTAAATGTTAGAGAAGCATGCACTAGGAAGCGACGCTGTGCCTTCTTATTACATCTCGGAAGTTAACAAAATGTGACGCCAAGTGAATCGTTACTGTTCCCCGTATTCGTATGACCTTTTTCAAGTATTAATAAGATCCCCCTCCCCGCAGTAATATCATCTTTCCCCCCATAGGCCCCAACGGTCCCCGTCTTGACATGCCACTGAGTGGGTGTCGCGACTCCTTGGACTGTCACCACCGTTTCACTAATTATCTGGGCTTGTTGGTACGCATGATGGAGACTGGCAAGAGGAGGAAGTAAAGCACCAACCATTACAGCCACGCTGGGGCTGAGGGATAAAGAGATGAGAGCGAGAAAACAGGATATACATAAGATCATTCAAGTCAAAATAACCCTGGGAACGACGTGGGGACACACTACACCAATAACGAAAGTTTGTTTAATTTATTCGGCCCACGTGACCATAAAAATGAAACACGTTTACGACAATCAGTGATACAAAAATGAGTTGAAACGGATCGTAAGTGTAAGCTTATTGGGACTCCTGAAGCTACAACATTCCCTATTTAATATTTGTACAAGTTTTCACTACTATCCGTGCAGTGTATAATCCACTTATAGGAAAGTTAATATAGAACCCCAGTTTTAAGTGTTTGTCTTAAATAGTACGTCAATAAACTTAATCATGTATACGCTGTTTTATTATTGTCATTGTTTATCTACCTGACCATCATATGACCTGCTATTTAGACTGTTTCCTATACCCAGTCACATGATTTGTTCCCTCACTGACCTGACCTGACCATCAGATTACATGCTATTTTTTTTTACGGGAATTAGCCCACCCGGGCACAGGTCAAACGACCCACAACGTAGCCTGGGGGGCGAAAAAAAAGAACGGAAAGAAATTGTAAATATAGAAAAAAAAAGGTTATACTGTATTAATCTACACCACGAAGATGCCGTAAAGCCAGCTTTTTAAAGTGAGACAGATTGTAAGAGCATGGAAACACAGAAGAATGCAGAGCATTCCACAGTTTTGCTGTGTGAGGAAAGAAGGAGGTACTATAACGGGTTATTCTAGTGTGACCGACATCCACAGAGAAACGGTTGGCACCGCGGGCAAGACGTGTGTTACGAACCCACGGCCTTGCCGGTGGTACACAGGATGCCAAATCCACTGAACATTGCCCGTTAAAGTACCTGTAAAAGAGAGAGAGTGAAGCAACATTGCGGCGAAGAGAAAGGGAAGAGAGGTTGTCGACTAAATGAGGAGAGCCACCCCAGATATGAGAGCAGCACTCCAAGTTAGGACGAATGAATCCCTTATATACTTGGAGCAACTGCTCAGGAGTGAAGTAGCTACGGCATCTGTACAGCATTCCCCACTTTCGGGAGGCAGCTTTAGTTATACTAAGGATGTGTGATTCCAGGACATATTGGAGGAAATGGTGAGGCCTAACATATTTATTTCAGAATTTGGGAGGATGATAGCGTCCTGAAGTGTAATTGGTGGGAGACAATTCCCAAACGTATGATTTTTTCCCATGTAGACTTACTGGGAATTATCCAAGTGCTAAATGGATAGGCTTGGATCAATTAGTAATTGTATTTATAATTGAACTTTGAGAATAAAAAGTAATTGTATTTATAGTTGCAATTTGCTGTTAAAATTTAATCCAATTACAAATATGCCATGAAACTGGGACATTATGAAATATGAAGGAGTCTTATATGAAGCAGTGAAAAGGAGACTTGGTCCAATTCTGGAAATTCCTGACATTGTAGCAGCATCTTTCTTTGATCCTTGATTTACCATTTCAAGAAAAAAGAAGAAATCTTTCGACACACCAAAACACTTCTTGCGGAATCTGACTGTCAGTCCTAAATACTGAAGGAAACAATGGGGACAAAGGACCAAGAGGAGCAGCGTGAATCATCTCAACCAACGCAAAGTTTACAAAAGAAGCCTCGCCTTTATGCCTCCTGCAACTAAAGGTGAACAGAAGTCACACACACATAAGGGTGAACAAGTGTATAGGGGAGGGCTGTGTCCCATGTGATGTGGACCCCTTGGTCTGTTGGAGGGATTCTCCTCCAAATGTTGGGCTGCACAGCCACTTCAGCACCGTCAGAAAGAGTGTTTAGTGTAGCTGGTAATTTTCACCCCAAACAGACAGAGCGCAGCGAGGAGTTGCAACCTTCCGGGAACTTCTGCTGATCAAGTCCAACAAAGATATATATGGTCAGCTTCAATGGTTGTGAATTGAATAGTAATGAATTATAGTGACAGAAAATGTGAGCAAAAATCTAACCACAATAAAGTGCAGAATCTGATATAAAATGAACTTGCTTGGTAATTTGAAACTTAACTATGTAGTCCGAACATGGTTAAAAAACATGTAATTGTAATTTTTGTATGTAAGTAATTTCAAAATTTTGTATTATTGTAATTGTATTTGTAATTTAAACTTTAGTTGAGTAATTGAAATTGTAATCGACCTTAAATAGTGTAATTAATCCAAGCCTGAAATGGAAGTGTAAAAAAACACCTAAAACAAACAGTCATTCAGAAATAAATTATACAAGTGGGATGAGAGCAGCCACCTTGAGACCTTATGTGTAGTGAAGATGTGTGTGTGTGTGTGCAGCACAAACTGGCCTGGTCATATCATCAGGTATTAAGGAATTTGGTAAGTTTTATCAGACTGTGTGGTGCATTCTGTCATGTTCGAGGTTTGGATATGAACACCTGATGATTTATTTTATTGGATTTGTACTTGTTTAGTTTTAACCCCTAACCAGCTGCTAAGGATTCCCTACTCTGCTTCATATGTGCATAAATTGACTGCAAGGAACATGAAGCGTCCACTAATGATGAATGCCATCCCTACAACCACCTCCCCCACATCACCACCATCTCCATCACATCACCACCACCTCCCCCCTCTACCACCACTGCCTCCCCCACACCACCACTACCTCCCTCACACCATCATTACCACCTTCCCTACACCACCACTGCCTCCCCCACACCACCACTCCCTCCCTCACACCATCATTATCCCTACCTCCCCCACACACTACCACTACCTCCCCCACACCACCACCCTTCCACACACTACCACCAGTGTACCACCTCCCCCACACCCTCACTACCACCACCACAGAGTACAAGAGGAGGTCATCTCTAGGGTATTGATCACTCTCACAAGGCCATGATTGACATACAAGTTCAACTAACAGATGAAGAACATGTGGGAGTATTGTGTAACTTCCATTTAATAAACCTTGATCGAATATTGCTTTAGTACAACACAGTGATGCAAGACCTACACCCTCCCTCCTGTGTGGTCTTGTTCTACCCTGATGTAAGACCTACACCCTCCCTCTGTGTGGTCTTGTTCTACCCTGATGTAAGACCTACACCCTCCCTCCTGTGTGGTCTTGTTCTCCCTGATGCAAGACCTACACCCTCCCTCCTGTGTGGTCTTGTTCAACCCTGATGTAAGACCTACACCCTCCCTCCCGTGTGGTCTTGTTCTACCCTGATGTAAGACCTACACCTCCCTCTGTGTGGTCTTGTTCTCCCTGATGTAAGACCTACACCCTCCCTCTGTGTGGTCTTGTTCTCCTGATGTAAGACCTACACCTCCCTCTGTGTGGTCTTGTTCTCCCTGATGTAAGACCTACACCCTCCCTCCCGTGTGGTCTTGTTCTCCCTGATGTAAGACCTACACCCTCCCTCTGTGTGGTCTTGTTCTCCCTGATGTAAGACCTACACCCTCCCTCTGTGTGGTCTTGTTCTCCCTGATGTAAGACCTACACCCTCCCTCTGTGTGGTCTTGTTCTCCCTGATGTAAGACCTACACCCTCCCTCCTGTGTGGTCTTGTTCTCCCTGATGTAAGACCTACACCCCTCCCACCTGTAACCCAGTCTTGTTCTCACCCCAAATATAAGACCACCCTCCCTCCTGTGTGGTCTTGTTCTCCCCTGATGTAAGACCTACACCCTCCACTCCTGTGTGGTCTTGTTCCTGATGTAAGACCTGCCTCCCTCCCCATGTGAGTGCTTGTTCTCCCTGAGTGCCAAGGAGCCTACACACTCCCTGTGGTCTTGTTCTCCTGATGTAAGACCTGCACCCTCCCCTCTGTGTGTCTTGTTCTCCCTGATGTAAGACCTACACCTCCCTCTGATAATGGTCTTGTTCTCCTGATGCTCAAGACCTACACCCTCCCCTCCTGTGTGGTCTTGTTCTCCCTGATATAAAGACCTACACCCTCCTCCCCGTGTGGTCTTGTTCTCCCTGATGTAAGACCCTACACTCTCCCCTCCCTATTGGTCTTGTTCTCCTGATGTAAGACCTACACCCTCCCTCTGTGTGGTCTTGTTCTCCCCTGATGTAAGGCCTACACCCCTCCCTCCTGTGTGGTCTTGTTCTCCCCTGATGTAAGACCTACACCCTCCCTCCTGTGGTCCCATTGCCTCCTGATGTAAGACTACCCTCCCTCTGTGTGGTGTTCTCCCTGATGGGAGCCTACCTCCCACACTCCTGTGCATGTGTGCCACAGTGCTGGGCCTGCACACTCCTCTGTATGGTGTGTTTATACAGTGCCAAGACCTGCACCCTCCCCTCAGCCAGCAGTCTTGTTCTCCTGATGTAGACCTACACACCCCTCCCTCTCTGTGTGGTCTTGTTCTCTGATGCTTAAGGCCTACACTCCTCTGTGTGGTCTTGTTCTCCCTGTTCTTAAGGCCTACACCCTCCCCTCCTGTGTGGTCTTGTTCTCCCTGATGCCAAGACCTACACCCTCTCCCTCCTGTGAGGTCTTGTTCTCTGATGTAAGACCTACCTCCACTCCTGTGTGGTCTTGTTCTCCTGATGTAAGACTGCACCCTCCTCCTGTGTGGTCTTGTTCTCCTGATGTAAGACCCTACCCCTCCCTCCTGTGTGGTCTTGTTCCTGATGTAAGGCCTACACCCTCCCTCCTGTGTGAGATGCTTGTTTCTGCCTGATGTAGACCTACTGCCCTCCCTCTGTGTGGTCTTGTTCTCCCTGATCATGAATTTCTGCCCTCCCCTAATATGGTCTTGTTCTCCTGATGTAAGACCTCACCCCTCCCCTCTGTGTGGTCTGTTTCCTGATGCTGAGCCCCACCTCCCCTCTGTGTGGTCTTGTCTCCCTGATATGAGACATACACCTCCTCCTGTGTTGGTCTTGACTTCTCCCTGATGCAAGGGCCACCACCCCACTCCCTCTGTGTGGTCTTGTTCTCCCTGATGCCAAAGACCTACACCTCCCTCTGTGTGGTCTTGTTCTCCTGATGTAAAGGCCACCCTCCCTCCTGTGTGGGTCTTGTTATACTGATGTAAGACCTACACCCCTCCCTCTGTGTAGTGCTTGTTTACTCCTGATGTAAGGCCTACACCTCCCTCCTGTGTGGTGCTTGTTCTGATGTAAGACCTGCACCTCCTCTGTGTGGTCTTGTTCTCCTGATGTAAGACCTACCCTCCCACTCCTGTGTGGTCTTGTTCTCCCTGATGTAGACCTACCTCCCTCCCTGTGTGGTCTTGTTCTCCTGATGTGGGCCTACACACTCCCTCTGTGTGGTCTTGTTCTCCTGATGCCAGACCTACCTCCTCTGTGTGAATGTGACTGCTCCTGATGTAGGAACCCTACACTCCCTCC